CCACCGTACACAAAGACTAAAACATACACCATCATCATTATGATGACATTAATTAGAAAAAAAAAAACTTCAACTGAATAAATTTGGTTAAAGATTCTGATTAGACTCTTCACGATCCCTATAAAAAACAACAATAAGCAAAAGAAGGAAAATATTTATTTAATATTAATTTGAAAAAACCCAACCTAACCACAGATAAGCGGAAGAAAATGGATGGATGATGGATGGATGGATAATTTGAAAAAAATCTACAACACCACAATAATTATGCAGCTCTCTTAAATCACACTGAAGAGGAAAACACTATGCATTAATGATAAATTTAAGTTCATAATTTTATTTATATTTATTTTTAATTATATGTATAGCAATAAAGGTAGTGAATAAATGGCAAGAAGATACAGTAGATTTATCGTGCCTGCTTTATGACGCACAAAAAAAACAGTTATTATGAGGAGAAATATTTTCTGCCCATAAATGTCTTCCTGAGTAACAGCAGGACTAAAACTGACAGGATCGCAGCTCAAAATGTCAAAGAATTGGCTCAACATGTGAAAGTTCCAAGTAAAAAGGACAAAAAAATTATATTTTCTTGATCTCATCACCAGAATATGAACTTATTTTGCTTTGACCTCATTAGGAACAGCTAAGCCTTTCACTGCTGCCAAAACATTGTCTACCATCATCTGCACCATCTTTCTTATTGTCCCACGAGTGTTGGTCCCGATGTGGGGCGTAATCAGCACGTTGGGGAGGGTGAGGAGTGGATGATCCCTGCACAGACCCATCAGATGAAGCTAACATTAGCAATAATGTGTCAACAAAGGAAGAGTTTAAAATAGAGGGTACCTGGGTAGTGGTTCGGGGTGAGTGACGTCTAAAGCTGCAGCTCGTATCGTTCCAGACATCAGGGCTTTGACTAGAGCGTCCTGGTCCACAACCAGACCTGAAACATTAAACGATTCAGATTGGTAGAGGAGCGAGTTCTTCTGAGTTTTCAGTCCAGGAGAAAGATTTACCTCTGCTGACATTTACAAGTGTCCCTGTGGGTTTCATGAGCGACAGCTCTCTGTGGCTGATGAGGCCGGTGGTGTCAGGGGTCAGGTTCACCACCACCACCACGAAATCGGACTCTTTCAGCAGGTCGTCCAGTTTCTCGCAGTAACTTGCCCCGACCGCTTGCTCATCTTCGACACTTCTAAACAACAGAAGAATAAAAGATCTTATGAGCCGCCTCCGTTTCTTGGGTTGACACATCGCGGTCCGAAAGTTGACCTTCTGTTTCTGTTGTGGTAAAGGATCCTCATGTTGAAACCTTTGCTTCTCTGAGCAACTTTGTACCCGATGTGTCCCATTCCAATGATCCCCAGAGTTGAACCTGTTACTTCAACTCCCATAAGGCTTTGTGGTACATGGGTGGTCTTAGAATCAACTGATATCAGGTGACCTGCAGAGACAGGAACCAGAAAAAAACGTTCCCAAGCTTTCAGATCATTAACAGAAACCTACACATGTGGTCAAAAGTTTACATACCCACTCATCATAGGGAAATAAATGTCTGTTTAATTCTGGGCTTTTAATTACGTAATAATTTTATTTAAACATCTAAGTTTGAGTATCTCTATTTGCACTGTGGATTGATGGTAGAGCTAAAAAAAAAGGCGTGGGTACAGACCTATAGATCTATAGATTTTCTTTAAATCTATAGATTTAAAGAAATTTAAATTTCTTTAAAGAGATTTAAATTTTCTTTAAATATATAGATCTATAGATTTAAATTATACATGATCCCATTAATTATAGGTGTGGAGGTTCCTCCACCTTTTCCTCAGTGTTAGTATTTATTTAAATGTTTTCATATAATATATTTAGATTTTCACTTTTTTTTTGGTGGGTTTTCTTTGGTGGTGGTTATTGCATTGGGTTGTTTACTAATTTGGGTGCACACATTTAGTAAATGCCTTATGCTTATTTAAGATCATTAATTATGTTGATTGCTGAGTTTAAGGACTGGCTGACAGAAGGGGGTTGGCTGAAAGGAAAACAAGGAAGTGGAAAAGTCCATCAGGCTGCTGGAAGCAGGGGACGTGATGTGGAAAAAATCTGCCTCTCTCCACTAATGGCATAATTGTTAAAACCTTTTTTGTGTTAGGTTATTTGGGTTTATAGTGGTGTTTAAGTCAAAGTGTTTTAGTTTAATTTAGTCATTTATGTTTATATATTATTTGTCTTTGTCCCTACCCCTCCTCGTTTGTGTAGGCTAGCCTGTTTGTATAAATTCCCCTGTGTGTTCATTGTGTGAGGGCAGTTGTTGGTTTGTTATCTTGAGTTAGGTTTGCCTTAGTTGATTTCTTTTGGGCCCATTTTGTTATATTTTTTTTAGATTGGTTGTTGAATCCTTTTGTTAAGATGTTTTTGGGAAAAATAAATAGAAGATATTTTTTTTATATATGCCTTTGTCCTTGTCCTTGACTGGTTGGACCATCACAATAGGGTAAATGTCCATTAACAAAATGTGAATCTTTTATAGCTTTTTACATAACCAGCTGAATATTTGATCAATCTTCTTAGCAGGTTAAGGGCATGGCTATTTCTTGAGTGCGGTGTTCGCCTGTTTTTACCATCAGAAAAGGTATTTTCAATGTGTGTTTGGGATGACTACCTACTGCAGGGGTGACAAACTCATTTTCACTTTGGGCCACATCAAAAATCTGGATGTTCTTAAAGGGCCGGTTGTGCCAGAATCTATTGATAAAAGCCATTAAACTGTTAAAATATTAACCAATAGCAGTTCCTCTGGGAGTTTGTGATTGTTTTTGTGTTTCTTTTGCAACGTGATGCTAATTTATGAGTATTTGTAAGGAATTTATATGATATTTGAGTTAATGTATGATGTTACATGTGACTTTTTATTACTTGACATCAAGTAAGGCTGGGGCAGTAGTCACTTAAACGCAATGTTTTTGACCAATTTTGAGAAACACTTGCAATGAGATCAGAAAAAACGTGGGGATCTGTTGATTTTGAGGATTTGTGAAAAACTGGAGGAAATTATTGATGTAATTTGGAGCCTGTAGGGCCACATAAAAAGCTGAAGCGGGCCAGATTTGGCCCCCGGCCTTGAGTCTGACACATGTGACCTAGTGAAACACCCATTTCTCAGCAATTTTTCCACATTGAAACCTTTTTATGTATTTTAGGCGTGCTGGTTATTTCCATTTTCTGTACTTCTTCAGAACCCATTTGATTTTTTCCCCCTTTTTTTTTTTTTGCAAAATTCTTTCTTCTTGTTGTTGAACACCCAGTTGTGCCCAACTTTCATCCCTGTCCAATCCACCTTTTGGTACTGAGACAACATCACAGCACAATCCAGCCACTACCATGCTCCATTGTTGGTACTGTGTTCATTTTTCTTACACTTTGTATCCATATAGCTCAGTCTTTATCCACTTTGACCCCGAGCTGAAGTGAGCAGTACATCATGAGGTATTTTAGGAGTGAGAACAATTATAAGAGGGGAAAGTATTGCTCTCACCCTCTATAACCGTCCGTGCTGAAGCCAGAAGGAGCGCCATGGCCATGTCTGCAGTGGCGTCGCTCACCACGCCGGGAGTGTTGGTGACCTTCACCCCAAAGCTGTTGATGTACGGCACATCCAGATGGTCGATGCCCACTCCTCCGTTGGCGATCACCTTCAGCGATGGCAGGCAGCTCAACAGGGAAGGCTCGGCCGCGGGACTGAAGTTCCACATAAACATGCCCTGGATTTTAGGGCCGTGCAGGGCCGGGTTTTGTAGGAACTCCTTGAGGCAGACGATGTGGAAGTGTTGATTGATAATGTCAACGACGTCCTCATGAAAACCCTTGTCCCCAATCTCTGAGATCAGAACCCATGGTTTGTTGTCTGCCATCTCCTGCTGGGATAAGAACACATTTAGAAACATTCAGACAACGGCTGATGGTAGTTCAACATCCTCAAAGCTTGATGCTGCCGCCAACATGCCTGAACAAACTGACTGACGGAAAACACCAGCACCAAAAACCTTCAAATATCCAGGAGGTGACATCAGGACTCTGTTTATACATTACAGTTCAATTCAACAAGTAAATAGTCTGAACTCTTACCAGACAGTGTGGCGGGGAAAAAAATGTATTTTCTGTGCCTAATAAAATCTTGTTCCTTCTGTAGATTGATCAGAAATTCACTTAAAGATCTGAGCAACTAACTTGCGATGCTTATGAAACACTCAATCTAAAATAGTCTCAGGTTAATGTCTCAGTCAAGAGATGTCCTCTATAAACAACTGAAATAACAGAAAGGTGTTTTATATGCAGCTTAAAGCCTGTAAGATTGCTGATCTCTAAACAGAGTGACTCAAACTAACTTCTGAGCCCCAGGAAGCCATAACATAGCTGACACTGACTAAATTAATATAAGGGATCATATTTCTTCTAGTGAGATATTAGAATAATAAGTTATGACATAAAACCGAGTGCTAAGAATAAAACTAAATATGAAACTGGGAGCAGACTGTAAATACTCACAAATGACTCGTCCTTTCTTCCTATCTGCCCTTCAACCAGGAAGAACTACTCAATAACTTTAAGGGCTTCAAAATAAAAGTCTTAAAATAAACGGACCAGTGAGTAGGATTATTTCCTACATTTGTAATTTATATACAGCTTCTGAATGAACAGCGACGAGAGAAAAAAAAATTAATTTTATTGTTGTACAACACCATGGAAGTTTATTATACCACGTGAAAAACATCTCTAATCTTAGAATAAATGCAATGTTTAATTGATAAAACAAGCTGTTTTGTCAACGTTATCAGCTTCACAAAGACATCTAGATCTGCGCTTTGACTTGACCATTCCAAGAGTTTTCATTTCTTAGCTCTCAGTTATGGAGTTCAATTTGTTTCACAATTATTCAATCAAAGAAAAATCATGTCAAATAATTTTTTTGATTGAATACTAGTGTGATATATATGTATTTTTTTGATTGAATAATTGTGAAACAAATTTAACACCATACTCAGTCACTCCTTGGTGGATTTATTTCTTGGGGTCATCATTGTGTCACAATGACTTGTTCTGTCTTTTTTTTTTTTTTTTTTTTTTTTTTAAAAATTCTCCCATTTTTTTCCAAAACATTTTTTTATAATATAAAATCTTTGGGG